TCCTAATGTTTACTTACTCAGAATTAATTACCTCAACTCTGACATGCAGTAGGAGTCTTTGTTGTTAAATGCAACAAACCAACTGAACACGTAACTTGAATAAACATCGAGGGCCCGAAAGAGGTGAAGGAGTGATAGAATATCACACCATACGTCCTTCAGTGTTCGTGTTATGTTTGCTAATCTTTCTTCAGGATAGCACGGATTCAGATTCAGCTCGGGTAGTCGATGTGTTCGTGTTCGTGTTCATTATTATTTTCCTGTGACTAGATACCTTCAGCATCTACAATGCGTCGTAGAAAGCCTCACAGATGCAGTGGAATAGAAATCAAACGGGATCTTTGTTGCTTCGCACTGACCTTGATGGTAATTTATCGCAGATACGAATCTGCTGTTGAAAACGCAACTGCACAGGACAGTGTCAAATTATGTTTGTTTTGAATTTATATATCTTTCTATAATCCTACACTTTTTGTGGTGTTATAGGTTTATACTATGAGCCGGTTTTGATAAAATCTGTTGGACGTATTTATAGTAGTTAAGCATTATATATTGATCATGTTCTTTGAGTGTAACCTTGGAAAACTTTTAATGGTTACCCGCAAATATCAAATTTAATTGAATTCATTCGTTTGTTTCAGAGATGAAACATGCGGATACTTGAACACCATTTGTCCTGCATGCGTTCACTTATTTCACGTTGTGCAAAATAACTTATTAAAGTTACAGAATAGGCTTTATTTATTTGCTTGCCACTGCAATGTTTGTTAATCGATAAAACAATTCGAGTTCGAGATAAGTGGTATAATAATTCGATCTTGATTCATATTCCCACTCTCGAATGAAAAGTTACTAGTTTCTCTCAGCTACGTGTGGGGAAACAAGATAAATGGAGTTAGGTTAGGTTAGGTTTGGTTTGGTTAGGTTAGGTTAGGTTAGGTTAGGTAAGGTTTGGTTAGGTTAGGCTAGGTTAGGCTAGGCTAGGCTAGGCTAGGCTAGGTTAGGCTAGGTTAAGTTAGGTTAGGTTAAGTTAGGGTGAGGTTAGGTTAGGTGTGGTTAGGTTAGGTTAGGTTTGGTTTGGTTAGGTTAGGTTAGGTTAGGTTTGTATTCGTAACATTTGCGCTGTGCGTCCGAAATCGAGTTTTTATTTGGGTTCGATTTGTCCCTGGGGAAAAACCATTGATAACCTACGGAATGGAGGCTGGATGTATTCAAAAGCCAGTCTGGACAAAATGGCGCAAGAAACAGTCTTAGCCCTTGCTGGGAATCGATTATTATTATTATTATTATTATTATTATCCCATATCTTCACCACTTTATGGGGTATGTACTTCTATGTACCCGAGACAGACCTTGTCCCTAAGGTACATAGGGCAGCAGCTATTTCCGGGATACATTTTGTATTTAATATGTATTACATGTATTATATTATTTTATTTTACGACAGCGTCTTTCGAATGATGTATGACGTTCCCAAAATTGCAGTTTTCTGAAGTTCCCTGACGTCGTGTTCGCCCGGGATGTTGGCCAAATATTTTATTATTATTTATTATTATTGACTGCCAATGGGTTTCGATGTCCATCACATAGGCAGTCACTTTACTGACAGTGTTGATTATCATCATCATCATCTGTTTTTGTTTTTGTTTTAGCATTTGTCAAGAACGTACGCAAATCTGCGTGGTATATAGGAATACTTTTTCCCATGTTGCAGCGGTTGAGGGGGCGGACGTGGTGATTTCCGTGAAGGAGGTGGACCTGCTGCTTGCAGAGAATGGACCGTTGCACCACACGGATCAGTACGATGTCATGGAGAGAGAGAAGGACCCGTTGCTCGTTGTACGTCGAGGACAGGTGTTCTCTGTTAACATAACCCTCAGCAGGGCCTTCAACGTAGATAAAGACGCTGTGTCCTTCATCTTCACCGTCCATGGTGAGATTTCATTTTAGACTCGAGGTTTTGTCGTTTGATGTATCCGGTTTAGATCTAACAAGGAAATGGAAGATTTTACGTAACGAGGGAACTTGGTGACTTACACAGATCACCAAGTATTGAGCAGTTGATGAGCCGAGGCTGGAGAAGCTTTAGTCTTTTATTTGTGTTCTTCGCGAAATATTATTAGAGTGATAAAACGTGAGGAAATTAAATGGACAGGACTTGCGAGAAATATTTATAAAATTTTAGTTTTAAAATCTAAGGGATGATAACTTTCAAAATAGATCTGGAAGGGAATAGATTGTGAGGGTATAGGCTGGACTAATCTGGCTCAGGATAATTTTATGGTTTGTAAAGGGAGGGGAGTTTCTTGTCCAACTGACCACCTTCCAGTTTATTGCGGAGGAATCTGCTCCGTGGAGTTAGTTAGTTCTGCCTATGGCAAGCAACGATGATAATTTTCTTAACCGCTTGAAGATTTTATGAGATCTCGTTTTATTCTGATGGAAATCACGAAACTCTCAGACCATTCGATCAAATGAACCGAGAAGCAGGATTATTACGTTGAAAAACGAGATACGTCTGCTTTGGTTTCTTCAGACTTGTAACAGAATTCTTTAATTCGTATGACCAGGAATATTCCTCACAGGACTCTCATAAACTCTGTAGCCGTGTTATTAGGGTTCAGGTTGGCCTGCTTTGTTTCAGACGCGGAGAAGCCGAACTATGGTCAGGGTACTCTGATCGCGGTACCGCTCCTTGCGAAAGGAGCCGAATCGGGGACCGCCTGGAATGCGGTATTGGAGTCCAGCAACGAGAATGTCATTACAGTCAAGGTAAATGTCTGTCTTGTTTTTTTATACCGGGGTATGATCGGGTGCGGGGATTGCTGTATTCCCGGTGTTGTAAGAAATTTTCCATTATGTTCTTTTATGGATCTCCGGTCCGTATTCGGTCCATGGCCTCCTCAATTCTCCTCTTCCATTCGGTCCTCTGTTAGATCCGTCTGTCCGAGGCTTTGATCGAGGTTTCGAAACATCTTCCTTTTTACAGTGCAAGGTTGTTAGCCTTGCGACCAACCCCCAACCTGGAGGACCAGGGTACCTGTCTTAGTCTGACCTCTCCCCGTAGGGAGGCCCTACCAGTAGCTCTTGGGGTCACTGAGGAACTCAAGCCCCACCACCAAGACAAGGTGCAGGTACCATTAAGTGGGGACTTGCCATTATAGAATGTGGTATATTTCAGTTTTGTGTGTTTGTGTCTAGATTACACCTGCAGCTGATGCCATCGTGGGGCAATGGAAGATGGATGTAGACACAAAGCTGAAGAATGATGGCGCCGTTAGCTACAGCCATAAGGAGCCTATTTACATATTGTTTAACCCTTGGTGCAGACGTAAGTACTTTGAATGATGTGCTGAAGACAAGATATTTTGTATGATTGTTTTTGATATAGGGTACCAGCTGTTATCGTTAACAATTTATATAAATGGCATCGGATGTTAACACGACCGCTTTTTACGTAGAGGACCAAGTGTTCCTGGAGGACAGCGAACTGTTACAAGAATACGTGCTGGCGGATAGCGGCCTTATCTGGCGAGGCAGTTACAACCGCCTGCGACCATGCGTCTGGAAGTTTGCACAGTTTGAGAAGGACGTTCTGGACTGCTCGTTGTACCTCGTGTCACATGTGGGAAAACTGACCCATGCTGGGCGCTCTGACCCAGTTAAAACCAGCAGAGTTCTCTCAGCAGCTGTAAGTATGTGGGTGTGAGTGAACCATTAATGTAATTTAAAGATTTTTTAATTTGGCCATTCCGACTTAACAATTTAGGGAAGTAATTATGTCTGGACATTTATGTTTGTTCGCCTGATCATTATAGCTGCCTCCGAAGTAATGAATCTTTTGTTTCAAATCACCAGCTGAAAGTCACTCTTGAAGAGAAATGGTGAATTTTTACTGCTGAAAGTTGTTGCGTTATGTGTACCTGCTTTTGTACATGGAACGTAACAAATTAGCTTACAAACTGTTGTTCCGTACACAAATTTGGACACGCGTGGAGAAATCAAAGAAATTCATGTTCAGTTTTGGATACAACGCCCAGGAGATGGCAGCGTGAATAGAGGATATAAAAATAGTTTGATGACACATTGAAGTAGCTCAGGTTGTGGCATCATTCTGTGAACCTTCAGGTTCCGTAAAAGCAGAGCATTTTCTTACCATTAGAATAATTAACAACCGCTCAACTAAGACTATGCTGTGGAGTTAGTTCAGTTTCTTAGTAAAACTGGTTTGGTAATGCATTTAATTGGTTTAGTCGGTCACACTTCGTTTATACTCAAACAATTCAGACTGAATACTTTATACTAGGTGAACTCTCCTGATGACAATGGTGTTCTCATGGGCAACTGGAGCGATGATTTTGATGGGGGCACCCCTCCGACAAAGTGGGTGGGCAGTATGAAGATTCTCCAAAAATTCTTTAAGGACAAGAAACCTGTGAAGTACGGTCAATGTTGGGTCTTTTCTGGTGTTCTTACAACAAGTAAGTATCGGCAGATGGCTCGGAGCACATAAGAAATTGAACGAAAGCGTCAGAGATCGATTGATGGTCTTGTTATTTAATGATATTTCTTTAATTTTCATGAATAAGATGGGAAGATTATCATGAGTGTTGGATGTGAATGATTTTGGAAGTAGTCATGGCTCATTCCTGACATTCGTCTGGAGGAACTGAGAAAATCACAGAAAACCTCGGTTACAACAACCAATAAGCACTAAGAATCTCCCGTATTCCACCCTAGAGCATTGTCGCTATGCTGACCACCTCAGTAAAAACATAATAGATTCCATCACTTTCTTTACAGTATAGAAGGTATTGTTTTTTATATGGCGTGGTTCATGTGATGTTCAATATTAGTCTGTAAAGCAATGATTTAAATTAAACATTAATAAATATGGATGCGGAACGTGAAATGATATTTTAAATGTTTTATATTTTATTATCTTATTAAAATTGTGATTTGACGGAAAATATTAAAATATTAACCTAATTCACAATATGACGCAAATTTACTACCTTAAGTATATTTTTTGACAGAAGTTACTTCTTTGTAGATAATTCTAAAGTCCCAAATGTCAATACTGACTATAGACTCTCTTTAATCTACATTTGAAGGTCCGGTTGATATTTGCGATAACGATTCCCCTTTAAACTAATATTTAATGTCCCTATCAAACTAAGATTGACTGTGACCTGATGCGTTATTTGGTTGTTTCAGAAATACAGCGTCACATGTATCCTTCTTGCTTATTGTTAGACTGAAATTTAATTTTAATGGACTAACATTTTTCACAATTTACAGAACCGCGTCTTAATGACTTGGCGTCTTAGTCCATCCAACAGAAATATAGTAGTCTAGGTGTTAATGTTAGCGCCAACATTTACATTCAGAACATAATTGGAAATCTGAGGTTTTAGTACGAAACGCAATGCATAATAACAACAAATTTAAAATTAAATTCTGTAGCTATGGAGTTTAAACTTGTTTTCTTGCTGTCTGTGAAACACTGCTTTATGTTTCAGTATGTCGGGCACTGGGTATACCCTGCAGGTCTGTCACCAACTATGCCTCAGCTCACGACACGCAGAACAGTCTCACGGTCGATTACTTTGTTGACGAGGATGGCGAAGTAATGGAAGAGCTCAACAGTGACTCTATTTGGTACATTTATGGAATTTGCGTAATTGCGGTTTAGTCTTCCATTATATCATAGAACGCTCGATGACCAGAATCCTTCTTGAGAAACTGTTAGTCACTCAGGTTATCAAGAACTCAAAACCTTTAACCCTTTGAAGCCGAAGATCGACTGAATATTATTTATGAATTCAGTCCGTACCGCGAAGAAAACACTACACCTCACCATTACGAAAATCAGCTGGTTAACCCTTTGAAGCCGAAGCTCGTCTTCATAATATTTACGAATCCAGACCGTACCGCGAAGAAAACACTTCACTTAACCATTAGAAGTCGAATCAGGCGGTACCACATAAGATTTAACAAAAGAACATCCCGGTCAAAGCCTTAATAGAATTTAAATGAGAGCTCTTTTTGGGCAGAGCAATGGACCTGTCGTAAGACAGAACACTTAATAATAATAATAATTACTGTTCACAAGTCTGCCACTGGACCCTGTCATTAGTCAGTCAAATGTAGTTCAGATTCTACAAAGAATGCCAGACAGACTTCTTATTTTTCTTCTCGAGCACTACAGTCTGTCGTGGACGTCGGCTTCCAGTAAAAATTTCCTCCATTCTTGACCGTCCCTAACCCTACTTTCCTATCGCCGTGATCTTCAAATCCTCTTCATTTATCCATTTTTGGTGTAGTCTAGCTCTTCTCCTTGTTCCTTCCATTTTAGTTATTATGTTTTAGGCATTGTTTCATTATTTATCCTTACATTACGTCCACACTATCTCAATCTGATGGATTTTGTAAGATTTTACGATATCCGCTCCTAACACACGTGCTATCTCCTTATTAGCTCTTGTTCCCCAGCTCTCTCCTTCATTTATGGGACCGTAGTTTCTTCTAGTAATCTTTCTTTCAATTGTTCTAAGGGCCTTCATTTCATTTGAAGCCATTGTCTAGGTTTCTGAACCCGTTACGTAGAATAGGTCTTATAAGAGTTTTGTATATATATATATATAATTTGGTGTTTCAGGACAAAAAATTTTAGTAGTAATTTTAAAACGAGCGTCTTTTCCATTGTCTTTAACTGATCCAAATATGTGAAACTTTCAGCACCTTCAAATTTAAAAATCACCTATTTTTAGGTTTTGATGATATTGTCTTGATTGCGAAGAGGACATTTTTAGATATTTAGTTTTCTTTTCATTAATTTATAGTCCCAATTTTTTTCCCCCTCAGTTTCCAGTACATATAATGATTCATTCGTTGCTGGAATATTTCTTGTAAACAAGACAACATCATCAGCATAAGCACAAATTTGTTGGATTTGTAAACAATATTTCCTTTCTCTACAATTCCTTCTAAGACCATATACAAGAGGCTTATATTACTGTAAATAAATGTGTACATCGATGTTTGCAAATGATCGGCTAATGAAAACGTATTTTAAGTTTATACTCTTATATCTTTTGATTTATTTATGTTAGAAGGAGGATCATATTTGAAAAAGTTTTATGAATGATTTGACATTATAGTACAGAATTTTAAAAAGTTTTTCAATTGACCAGAGTTCATATTAAAATTTTTCATTTGCATCTTTTCCAAATCACCCTATGATTCCGCACTATCTAAGCAATTGATAATGTTGTTGAATAGACTAGGAATAATCAGGAATTTTATACTGTTTGTATTTAATGCAAGATTATTTTTAAATGTATACTTGGCCGTCTGTCTTTTGTTCTAGTTGTAGTATTTCCCACTAGAAATGCAAGGTTCAAGATTTTATTTGTAGAGATTGGTAGAACTGTAACTAGCTATGGGTTGGCAGTCCATGTATCTGTGGAACATGAAATTAATTTCATATTCAAAGTCGCATGCAGCTTATTTTCAATGCCGGAGTAACAAGAAACTTGAGTTTGACTCAAGTGTAGATTCTGTAAAAAACATTTCCTTTTTAACGGCTTGTTTACGTCGGCAATGAATGAACGTAAAGTCTACTGAAATTTGCGCAGTTGCGAAGATGATTCAGATGATATCTGTCATGAAGATTTATGAAATAAACATATTCACTTACAGGAATTTCCACGTCTGGAATGAAGTGTGGATGGAGAGACCAGACGTCGTTCCTGGAGGAGAGTACGGCGGCTGGCAGGTGATTGACGCCACCCCACAAGAGGAGAGTGATGACATGTACCGCTGTGGCCCTGCCTCTGTGAATGCCGTCAAGCGAGGAGAGGTTCTTCGGCCATATGACAACGCCTTCGTTTTCTCTGAGGTCAATGCTGATAAAGTGTTCTGGCGCTATTATGGACCGACTCAGCCACTCAAGCTACTGCGTAAGGACATGTTGGGGTAAGTGATTGAGTGGTTAGCATGTTCGCTTTTTTGTTTAGTTGGTTACGAGTTTAATTCGGATAAGCTCGGAGTAATATATTACCCGTGAATAAGACTCTGCTGCTTCCCTTCACATCCTCTCCAGTTTATCTAAATACATTTTCTTCCATAAAAAAATACTGGGGAATACCATACAGTCTCTTAGTTTTAAATTGAATCTGTAAGTTTTTTGGGGGGGTTAATCGTTTTGAAGTTTTGTGGTCCTTACAAGACCACTGTAGGTGCAGTCAGTGCTATTGAATATTTATGTTAAAAACCACTTAAAAAATTAAAATGGCTGCCATAAAGTAACAAACTAACTAAATTTATGAAGAAGAATTCTTCCTGAAAAGCTAATTGTTCCTCATTTAGTCTGGAAATTTTCTGCAAAACATGAGGTTTCATTACCCTGTTTGCAAGAACCCGTCATCGACTCATATCCGAATTACGCTGAAATCAGGCTACACCCTCACATTGTAAAATATTTTAAGATTATCCTCCCTTCTGTGTTTGGATTTCCCAAGTGGTCACTTTCCTTCAGTGTATCCGACTAAAATTTTGCATGAATTTCTTAATCCATGTTTCATCTGTCTCATCCTAATAATATGTGGTAAGAGTACAAAGTATGAAGCTCCTCGTTATATAATATTATCGATCCTTGTGCCTGTTCCTTGCTCATTATTCTAAGTATTTTACTCAGAATCTTCCACTGGACCCTATCGTAACACACATGAAT